TTAGGTGTTACATCCGAATTTGCACGGAGAACAATGACCGCAACGAGTCACCGCAAATACTCTGTTCTTCCTGACGGGCAAAGGCGTTAAATGTCGGCATACTCGGTCCTAGGTCTCGCGGGGTCAGCATGCCCTCATTAAACGGCTCTACCCAGAAGGGTGAAGCAATGATGAAGTTAAGAATTACATTATTCAGCAGGATTTACTGCACCAGTTATGAGGCAATATCCTGAGTTGCTACCACGCCCAGTAACATTTCTTCCAACTGTACTGAAAGTGAATTCAATAACAACACCAACAAAACCAAACTGAGTAAGTATTCAAATATAGGAGCCTCGGTCCACGATTACCATTCAATTGAGAATTGTGTATTTATTATTACAGAAATCTTAATTAATAATAATATTAATTATTTTTCGTTTAAAAATTATATTAATCATAATATATACGGATTATTTAAATAATATTGAGATATTTTTTTAGTTTTGATAGAAAAATATTATATTACATATTAAATATATTGTTTTATAATGCCGCAAGGCTTTGTGCCTATTCATAACATATGTCGATGAATATAAAAAACTAAACTATCACGCAGGTGAACAGCCAACGGTGTAAGAACTCCACAACTTCCGTGTTCCTAGAAGACCGCAGCGAGTCACCGTACATACGCTGTTCATCCTCACGGACAAAGGCGGTGCTTTGGCTTGTGCCCATAAGGATGAACAGCGTATTTGAGGTGAGATAAGCACAGCCCCGCGGGACCCAAGTTCAAGCCTGCCATCATTAACCACCTCAAGCAAATCTAAATACATGCGACTCGTTTTTATAGTTTTAGTAGAACATTATCCATTAGGGTAAAATTTAGTATATAAATGTAATAAAAAATACATAAAAGCCTAAATTTCTAATCATTAAAAAAAATAATAAACAGCTTTAATTTTTTATATATTTTTTCCTGTTATCCTATATCCGAGCTACCTTCAGTACCGTCGATCGAAACCCCTTCACGGGTAAAGGCCTCCTCCAGCTTTTTTAACTAACTCTGTCCATGGCTTTCCTTCTTCATTCGCTTCCTACTACCGCTTCGCCGTCGGCGATAGCAAAAATGTTATCTCTTGTCTGGCATTGAGCTACCTGTAGAGTTTAATAGAAGGAGTCGATCTCTTCATCTGTAGCCTTTTCGGTAGGTGCGTATTCTTGTATTATTGTATTCAGTTGGTTGTTGTATTTCATTTTTATACGGCCACCCGTTCTGAAGAGCTCAAAAACTGCCAATATTATGTTTGTGTTATTTTTTTATGAATAATCCAACTCCGTATATGCCGAGTGTTTCATCCTTGTAACAAAATATATAGTCTTCATGTTCTTCAATTGCGTAGCCCGTTCTTCTTACTTCTGCCAAGCCTAGTATATCGATTTGTATGTTTTGTAACAAATTTGTATTAATTTAGAATTTAGCATTGTTATTACTTTTCTTACTTTACTTTTCTTTCACTAGAAGCTGTAATTCCTTTTCTACTTTACTTTTCAACATTTGCTTTTCTTCTAGGATAGGTCATAATTTTTCATTCATTTTATCAAATATTGTGATCATTACTTGAATTGTTTGGTTCTGCAATTCCAACTCTATTTTGTCAAATAGTAGTTGAGATTGTTCGTCCATAATTTTTACGTGTAACAGACCGTAATTAATTATTTGCTGTCGGAACTCGTTTCTATTCAATTGAAATTCAAAGTAATTCCCCTTAGATATTATGTTGATATCTAAGGGGAGTCGTATTGAAGGTTAAAAGACATTTAAAAACAGGAAAAACAGGTTTTAACCACTCTATTTCGAATTCCCTCGTTTCTATGCCGATGCAGTAGTGCTTCTACGCATAAGTTTCGCTGTTGGTCGCTTAGTTCGTGTGGCCCCGCTTATCTAGCTATTATATCTTTACGATTAGACGCGAGTGCTTCAATGTTCAGATCAGCTCAGTCATGTATTAAGTTGGATGCGATTTCACTATCGTCTACAATTCGGCCGACCAGCTAACGGCCGACCGCAAGGTTCCTTGATTATCTAAAAACTTTCAAATTTAAAACGATTGAACCAATAATGAACTATGTTTCGTGTTAATTTGCACACTAGTATATAAGAATATTTTATGAATTTTTGAATCTAACACAATTTTACTAAAAACAAATGACTGAATTTGAAATTGTAAGTTTTTACAGTTTTTTTTATTAACGGCTTTTGAATTAAAAAAGCTTGAATTTCAAAATGCACTTCAATATCTCCAGTCTTGCATATACTGCACTCTTGAATGTTTTTTTGTTTTGTGTTTGTTTTTGTTGGAGCCTGCATGCTATCTACTGACTATACAGTGAGCCTGTGCATGTGTGACAATTGTTCAGTAAAGTTCTTAATACACATTTATTTAGAACTGATGACATTTTCATGTTGAGAGGAGTTTATCGATTGCACGTGCATAAGTTACAAGATGCACAAATGTGGAATCAATGAAGAGCATCTATAGCAATGACAAAAGGTTTAAGTCCTAACAATATTGACATATAATACTACTGATAGCCATGGGAGATGGGTCCCTGTAATATGCAGGAAGGAATAGAATAAGAAGAAGACTGATGAGGAATTGATGAAGATTTAAGGATTACATTATTCAGCAGACTCCAACAGTTATGAGGTAATTCATAACAGATGAAGTGTAAATTCTGCTGAATGTCCTGAGTTCCCACCACCACCAGTAACATCTCTTCCAAATAACAACTGTACTGAAAGTGCATTCAATAACGACAACCAACAAAATAATATTTTTTTAATAGAAAACTGTTAAAATTAAAATATCGATTTATAATTCAGGAAGGCTTTGTGTCTACTCATAACATATGTCGATGAATATAAAAAACAAAACTATCACGCAGGTGAATAACCAACCCAAGAACTAAGTGTACGAAGACCACAACTTCCGCGTGGCGGCGGCCCGCCTGGACGACAGCAACCATACCTATGCCCGTTAGGATAAACAACGTATGTGATGTGAGGTAATCACAGCCCCGCGGGTCTCAAGGTCAAGCCCTCCGTAATTAAACGCCTCAAGCAGAGAAGCCTCGCGTGAGTTGCACTTTTAAAATATAACAATAATGAAATATCCAAAATATCAAAACCAAATAAAAAAGGCAGGGTCGAATAGGGTTAGCAATTTAGTATAAATTTATTAATTCCTATTTTTAACCACTCATGCGTTGAATCAGACATATTAGGGAACAGTCTAAATTTCATCGAAATCGATTCAAAACAACAATACGTTTATAGATAAGTTCGTAGTAAAGTGTTTTTCTGTAGGGCCGTCAACCTTTTATAGGATGTGAACGGTGCGTGCGCGAAAAGTGTGAAAGTGTTTATGAAAGCTACAACGGCAAGACCTCATGGCCCCAATGGATTAAGTATCGAATATAATTATATTTAGAGTTTTGTCTCTGCATATCATTTTCCTACCTACCGAATAATAGAATGAAAACTATTGCCAGTAGTGTAAATAAATCAGGTAATATAACAGAAATTATTATAATATTAGGTACCACATATGAAATTGGCGTTTTATATGGGATTAACAAAAAGTTCATTTTTTTAAATAGAATATATTTAATTAATCAAAGTATGTACCATTTTGCCAAAGATAGTTTATTGATCCCATTACATTTTTCAACCGCGAAATTTGGTCAAGAATTGCTGGAAATTTGTTGGGTTTAGTTTTAGATAACGTAGATCAATTTACTTAAAATGAATAACGACGAAGGGCTGAATAGTTCCAGGAACTACACAAGGCGCAAAAGTACATGAACCGCGGGATTTTGTCCATGGCCTCTAATCACTCATAGTTGGAAGCTATCCACACTACGAGCAGGCAGGCCAACAACAAAGCTGCCAACAACAAGGCTGCCAACAACAAGGCTGTCAACAACAAGGCTGCCAACAACAAGGCTGCCAACAACAAGGCTGCCAACAACAAGGCTGCCAACAACAAGGCTGCCAACAACAAGGATGCCAACAATAAGGCTGCCAACAACAAGGCTGCCAACAACAAGGCTGCCAACAATAAGGCTGCCAACATACGTTAACGTAAGATATTTTTTGCTTTACTTCAGTTACCATTTCTCTATATATTATACGTTAAGGTTTAGGGTAAGATTCAGTAGCTGACTGAATCCCGTATGTCAAAACTGTATAGTGTTTTTTTTATACGGGAGTCATATTTTGCGCTAAATCTCGTTTCTACGAGTGATTGATACGAAGCATATACTATTATTAACTCATTGCACAAATTTTAGTCATATCATATTTAAATTCTGAGATTTTTTTGAGTTATTACAGAAAAATAATAATAATGCAAGGCTTTGTGTCTACACGTTTGACGTAACGATACAAAAATATGTATATATATATATAAAGTTTACTATGTTCGCTGTTCGCATTCCTGTCATATTTTCAGAATAATATAGATATAGTTTCAAAATCTGATATCGATTTGATACTGACAAAACTATAATAGGTATATTACTCATGCCTACTCGTTTCTGAATCTCATCCTTAGTCATTTTTGTAACTTTGGTTTTGTAAACTAAATATTAAAATAGTAGTCACAAACTTAAGTTAACAAATAATTGTCAAAATATAGTCTCTTTCGTCGTTAAGAAGTTTTTACTTTAATTTGTAAATTGAGCAAGTAAAAATTGCTTCTGTTCAAATTTGGTAACGTTTCGCTAATGCGTTTTGAGCTAAGTCCAGTAAGCACATCGCTATCTGCCCATTCATACAAAAAGTAAACGATCACGAAGGTGAACGCCCAACGCTACAAGAACAACGCGCCACAACCTCCACAACTTCCGCGTGCTTCTTGCCCTCCTGGAAGTGTTCCTGGTCGACATCAACGAGTCACCGCACATACGCAGTTCATCCTCCCGGGCAGCGGTAAGGACAGCCTTTGCCCGTGAGGATGAACAGCGTATATGGGGTGAGGTTATCACAGCCCCGCGGGTCAAAGTCAAGAACATAGTCATTAAACGCCGCAAACAGAGGCGCCTGGCGTGAGTTTCACCTTTAAAAAAGAGCAATAATTAAATATCCGGAATGTCAAAACCAAATACATACGACTCGATTTTTAAAAAATAGTTTTAGTAGAAAATTATCCAATAGGGTTAGCAATTTATTATTAATTGTTTAATACATATTTTAACCACGTTGACGTTTTTGTATAGATATTCCAAAATCGAGTACATAGAGATTAGCTAGTTACGTTATAAATTGACTGACTTGATATTATGGATGTCACAACTTTTTACTGTAGAAGAACTGCGTTATGAGACCGTTTTTTTTTACGATTTATGTTTATGATGGCATCTCATTTCTTTTTGTAGATAGTCCTACTTTTTTTTTTTCGGTAACTTCTTCTTGAGTGCCAACAACGTATTTCCTTATAACATTACCTATTTTATTGGAATCCGGAATGTATGGCCCATGCATTTCCACTTACGAAGCTTGATGACTTATGAGCTTCTGCTGGTTAATCGGAGGTTCTCGGCAGCGCTTCCAAAATTGCTCGTTACAGATCTTCTCGGGCCAGTAGACATTCAGAATACGGCAAAGACTGTGGTTGACGAAGACTTGAAGTCGGTGCGAGATGTCTTTCGTGACCTTCACACTCATAGAGCAGCACAGATTTGAAGTTGGATCCGATTATTTTAATTGCACTCAAAGTTACTTTAAATTAATAAAATACTTAACCCATTATTTAGATTTTTATACACATTATTTAAATGTTTATATCTAAACTGAACCATTTCCGTACACATCAACACCTATTATTCCATTATAATACACAGGTGCACTGATTCATTAACCGCATGAATAACTCTGTGATCCCATATTAAAATATAGGATAACAAAGTTATTTGTGCAGTTGGTGTATCTAGAAAACTGGATAAAAATTGCAAATATTTTAGTTTTCCTTGATTTTTACACTAAATTCTAATTGTATATTCTAAATTGTAAGCTCCTATATCTGCTCTAGATAATAATATTAATTTCTATTGAACCCATCCGAAATGAATCGACCTAATTTTTAATTTCAAAATACTACAGATATTGAATAGAATCACAAAACATGTCTTCAGCGAGAAAGCTGCTCCGAGGTGCGATTGGCGCTCATAAATTGTATGTATGGCTCAAATTTCCTAGAATTAGCGGTCTAAATACCTAAGTATGATAAATGTAGTTTTGTAATAAATTCAATAGATTCAGGTTTCATTAAATTGGGTTAACTCACGTTATTAAATTTAACGTAAAAATCATACGTAGCATCATATGATTTTGTGATAATTACACAAAATATAGATACATTCCGAGATTGTGCATTTTACGCACAGGACGGAGTAGTTTGTGGCGACTAGCTTTGATCTAGAGCTGTCGGCGACTTCAAAAGATTTTGTGCAATGTTCAAAATTTGTTATAATAAGCTATCGTAACAAATAAGTCAATCTACTTTATGTTGCATGTACGACGATTATTTTGCGTATGGAAATATTATTTTATTATGTACGCGTGTGTTACGTTGTTGTTTACAAATGTATTTTTGTGGATGAATATACATACTAAACTATCACGCAGATGAACACTGAACATCAAACGGTGCAAGAACAACGCGTCCGAAAACCCCCACAACCACAACCACGGCGCCCGCTCCACGCTGGCCCGCCTGGACGTGTTCCTGGACGACCGCAGCGAATCACCCCGCACATACGATGTTCAACCTCACGGCCATAGGCTATACTTACCTCTGCCCGTAAGGATGAGCAGCGTATGTGAGGTGAGGTAAGCACAGCGCCGTGGGAGCCAAGGACAAGGTCAATAAACTTTTTAAAAATAACATTAAATTGATTAATTTCTATTTTTTAACAACAATGCCTTGAATCAGGTATATTCTAACTTTTGGAACAGTCTAAGTTTTATCCAAATCCAATCAAAACTTAATAAGTAACTAAATAAGTTTGAAGATTCGTTCTTAGTAAAGTCTTGTTTAGGGCCGTCAACCTTTTGGGATGTGAACGGTGCGTGCGAGGAAAGTGTAAATGTGTCTATTAAAGGCAGGCAGCAAATGTTTTAAAGTCTGCCAACAATTTCCAACAGCAAGTCCCCCGGGTCTCTCAACCTCCGTCTCCAAGTTCCATGTTTAAATTTTACGAATTTGGGCCAAAACATTAACTGAATTGTTTGGTATAACCGTATGAACGTATGTCTTTGAATTTCCACTAAGTCAGGATTATAAGAAATATTTAAAAAAAATAACTTTAAGACAAAACCTCGCAAACTATAACAATTAGGTACGCGATAGGTGAACGCTTTATCGTAACGCGACCGCGTCTCTTTAGACTTTTCAGTTACAATAATTAACTAGCGACGATTCTAACCGAAATTAAACCGACAGCTGAACTTGCTAAATGTTTAAAAGACATTGAAAAACTAGAACAGAAACGGGATAACGGAGCAAACTAGGATAAAGGACCTTAAAAACTAGCAGTATTCAATGCTGAAAAAGCAACAACATCAATTGCAGGAATTGCTGTGTCTTCAATATCTAAACCACCAAGAAAGAGTCAAATAGAAAAATCCCTAAAAGATGTCACTGACCAATTTGTCATACCTACAGCAGATTCAAATTGAATTGGTCCAGGTTCCTAACGTTGGATACTCAAAATCCCCTGAGGTTGTTGGAGTGGATACATTTGCCTCAAAAATAATATAATGTACCTGTCTGGAACCTGGTGTTATGGATTTTTCTCATATTATGAAAAAACATTACAACGTTAATCTGGATACACTAAGAGAAATAAAGAAAGAGAAAAATATACCTTTAAGGAGAATACTTGACAAAAGTAGGTACAAGTAAAAGTAATAGTAAATAATTTCTTTGGAACCCTTTCGATGTCAAAACGTGCTGTTCCTGCACTTAAAAGTTTGTAGAAAGATGTTTAGATATATTTCTTGTTTAAATAATCGAGGGATATTTTTGAAAATTATTGTTGTGATGTTAACTGGGCAAAGTGATTGAAATTGTCATAGATAGCATGACTAATAACCAAATTTGCTCAGTTCAAGATACCTTATCTAGAAGAGGAGGATGATGCAGAAAGCTTTGAGCAGTGCGAGTGTCTCGCTGCATTTAACATTATACCTGATAATCGTGAAATATAGTTTTTTCTGAATTCGATATCGAATATTAATATGTTGATTCGATTTAATGCTGAGAAAACTATAATATACTAGCCGACTCGGCCAAGCATTGCTGTGGTTTTTGTTATATATTACATAGTAGTAAACTATTCAAGAGAAACGGTAGGAGAGCACCAGTCATGGAGACCACCATGCTTTTTGGTGGTTATGCCATTAAATTGTAGATTAGGTGAAACGTTGGTATTTTCAACACAGCGCCATCTGTTAGAATTGTGACTGCCAAATAATAAACAAATAAATTGCAATAAAATATTTTTTTAAGCTATCCTATCTTTTAAGTTGGATCAAACTACACACGGTGTGCAAATTTGATTGATATGGGTTCGGTAGTTTAGGAGTCCATAGCGGACAAATAACTTGACACGTAATTTATATATATTAAGATATTACTCATGCCTACTCGTTTATCTATACTCGGTCGTATTTGTTTATTTGAATTAAAATAGTCGTCAAAAACTTAGGTTATTAGTAATAGATGATGTAGTCTGTTTTGTGTTTTTGTAAGGAATCTTGCTATTGGCTTAAAGGCCTCAGCTCGGGCTGTTTTAGCAACCCAACGGTGCATAAACTGCGCGTCCGAAGACCTCCACAACTTCCGCGTGGCGTGGAGGCCCGCATAGCCATGTTCTCCTTGAGATTTCTTATGTGGACGTCCAGGAACCTCCTCCTTCCTGGATGTCTACATCAGGAGTTCCACGGAGAACAATAACAACAACGTGTCAGCGTACATACACTGTTCAACCCCACGGGCAGAGGCGTTTAATGACGGCGTGCTTGACCATAGGTCCCGCAGGTCATTAAACGACTCTGCCTAGAAGGGAGTAACTGGTGAAGAGATAAGAATTACACAAGAATTTACTCCACCAGTTATGAGGCAATATTCTGAGGTGCTACTACGCCCAGTAACATGTCTTAAAAGTAACGAATTTCTTAAATAAAATATTAATGGTATATAATTATTTTTTATAATTTTGAGAATTGTTTTTAGGGTTAATAGAAAAATGTGAATATTAGAATAATGTTTTACCTACTCATAACAATATAATATGTCGATGAATGTAAAAAAACTAAACTATCGCGCAGGTGAACACCCAACGGTGCAAGAATATTGTGCCCGAAGACCTCCACAACGGCGGCCCGCTGGACCTGTTCCTGGACGACCACAGCGAATCACCGCACATACGCTGTGCTGGATGAACAGCGTATTGGAGGAGGTGAGGTAAGCACAGTGCCGTTGGACCCAAAGTCAACCCCCCATCATCAAACGCCTCAAGCAGAGGAACCTCTCGTGAGTTGCACTTTTAAAAAGAAACAATAATAAAATATCTGAAATATCAAAACCAAATATCTTAAAACCTTTTTATAGTTTTAGCAGAACATAATAAAACAACAACATTTATTCTATTTTTCTAAACGCAATGCGTTGAATCAGGTATATTCTAACTTATGGAACAGTCTAAATTTCATCCAAATCGATTGTGGTTATAAAAGTAGGCAAGCAAATGTATTACAGTCTATCAAATCAATGACCAACAGCAAGTCCCCCGGGTCGCGATGGTCTCACGGCCTCCATCTCTACTGTAAAAAGTTGATGGCCTTTCTAAATGGAGGCAGATAAAGGTGGCTCGATCCACTGTGAACAGCTATTTGTGGTGGTGGTATTTAGCGTTCCAGTTTTAAATTTTACGAATTTTGGCTAAAACATAAACCGAATTGTTTGGTGTGCGGCGCTATGCTGGACATACATGTCTTTGAAATTTCACTTAGTTAAGTTTATAAGAAATATTACGAAATCTTTCCATCGGCTTTCCTGAAGATGTCAACGGCCTGGCTAAACTGGAAACAAATTTTCAACTTCTTCTTCGTCTTCAGAACCAAATGCCGTTACGTAATCTACTATTCTCTTAGTGATTTTCCAATTTTTGCAATGCAAAGAAGTATAATATCGTTTTACCTGCTGTCGTTTTTCAAGAACATCACATCCCTTTCCAATTCAGATACTTTTACTTTAAGATTTTTCTTCATAAATAGGTTTGAGCTTTTCTTCGAGCACCTTCATTAATTTTTAATTAAGACACGAGTGTTTGAGTTTCTCTAATATTCCAATATTTCTATCAATATGCATTTTTTATTGGATAGGGGTTTGTACATGTGTCAAAAGCATAAGAAAATAATTCAACAACTTGTTCTTTAGGATATTTATTATAAACCTTGTCATCGATTCAAGGTAACTTTACGGGATTCATTGTGTTTGTTTGAACCGAATTAACCTTTTTAAATTAATTATATAATGTTTAGTAATTTGCAAGAAAAGTTTCTTGTAAGTACGTCCGTCAGTTCCCGTACAAGCCGTTCTAGCTACGGGAATGTAGCTTAAGCTTATGCAGCAAAAATAACAGTACCTACGTTAATCAACGCAACCGAGTAGTAGACCCTATTACTGATGATCTCTTTTTGGGCATCTGATATTGTTTGACCTATTATTATATATATTTATATTTACTTGCTGGAATCTATTGTTGCAAGATAGTTCTAGAGTTAAATTTAATTTAAAAAAAGTCCATGGCTTTCTTCAGGCCCTTTTGACCATTGGGTTGAATTATGTTCTTTTTTATCCATCTCAAGCTTGCATAGAAGAGATTCGATTTGAACAATTTCTTCTTTAAAATTTATCTTGAGCTATCGGCTCATGTCAGCAACAAGATGTTTTAAATTCAGGTTTGTAACATTCACTTGCTCGTTTGTTTCAGATTCTTCGTCATCAAAATCATCATCGGGGGTGAATTACGATCTGCGCGATACATTCTTAAGGCATTCACCACAACTCAATTAGATGCTTCACGAGTTTCGAATAAAGTTAACCTCTTTGTTAGCTTAGCGCAGTTAGTATCCAGAAGATAAAGTAAGCCAGAAGATTTTGGAAAATTTGATTCAGTTAAGTGGATCTGCTGATTTTCTTGTGGCTTATCAACAGATGAGCTCGTGCGTTGTAAATCTTTCAGTGATGGTTCGAATAATAACAATAATTTTCAAAAATTACGATATTTCCTTAAATTTCCGCTTTGTACCATACAAAGATAAGTACGTTTGCATCTTTACGTGTACTTCTGGATGATGCTTTTGGCATATTCAGTGCTTAAGTTGAGCTTGTCTATGTGGTTGTTTTTCAATAAGGACGATAATCATGTATTATGCAGCGAGGCACTCGTACTGCTCAAAGTTTTCTGCATCAGCCTCGTCTAGTAAGGTATTTTCTTGTACTGAACAATATTGGTTATTAGCTATGCTATTTATGTAATGACAATTTCGATCATTTTGCTATCACAACAATAATTAAAAAAAAACTACTATTTAAGCAAGGAATATATCTAAACATCTGTCTAAACACTTTGAAGTGCTGTTTATTAAAACTACAAGTACGCGTGCTCACCACAGATATAAAATGATGTACTATGTTATGCATAGACCTACAAAGTAGTTTTACGTATCAATCAATCTAGATGTCGCTAGTAAAATAAAAACTTTTATTTTAATACATATTTAACACTGTGCTTTATTTCTACATCGAAGTGTTCACTTAAAAAAAATACTATTACATTTACTTGTAATTTTAATACTTTTGCCAAGCATTCTCTATAAAGGTATTTTTTATTTTCTCTCTTTTTTTACTTCTCTCGGTGTAACCAGAATATCGTTGTAATGTCGTTTCATATGAGAAAAATCCATATCACCAGGTTCAATACAGGTTCTTCTTGATATTATTTTTGAGCAAATGTTTCCACTCCAACAAGCTCAGTGGGGTTTTGAACACCCAAAGTTAGGCACCTGCGCCAATCTTTTGAATCCGCTGTAGATATGACGAATTGGTCAGTTACACCTTTCCTTGATTTTTCTTTAATGTAACAATCGAACTGAGGCTCCACCCCAAATTTGAAACCTCAATTATATAGGTTTGGTTTGTCGTTACTGAATTCACTTTCAGTACAGCTGTTGTTACTCGGAAGAGATTTTACTGGCGGTGGTCGCAACTCAGGACCTAATAACTGGCGGAGTAAATTCTACTGAATAATGTTATACTAAACTCTTTATCAATTTTTGACCAGTTATTTCCCCCTTCATGTTATAGGGTCCAATCTCCGACGGCTCGATGTTAGTGTTGTCAATAATTACAGGACTTATACCTTTGGTCACTTTCAGTGATGGTTCGAATAATAATAATAATTTTCAGAAATGACGATATTTCATTATATTTCCGACTCCTCTATTGTATGGCGGCATCAGATAGGTACGGTTGCATCTTTACATGTTCTGCTGGATGACGCTCAAGTATTGGGACATAGATAGGGACACATACTAGAGATAACAACATTTGTTACTAGAGGGCAGTGTCCGCAAAGTTGTGTAATGAAACGCTGAAGCATCCCAGAAGACAAAAAAATATTTAAAACCAAATATAAAAAATAATAATAATAATAATTCATAAAAATAAAAAATGGATGTCTTCAATCTGGGAGGGAGTCATATCTCATATCGCAAAGATCGGAATGATTATATTATATGATTCTTCAATTAAATCGACGGGAAAATCGAAGGGAAAAGTTAACTTGGCATCCAAGCCTGCCCAACACAAGGCCAAAGGATACAAACTCGAAGAACTCATCTTCTATGTCCACCGTTTATAAATGTGACCCAACATTAAATGATGATACTAACAGCCGCTATCCCAAAAGAAAAAGACTATCAAATAGTTCACCGCCTGACCAAAAAACACAAGTAACAATTAGTACTTCAAACAGATATAATTTACTATCTGTAGATCTAACCGAAAAGGAAAGAGACGACTCGCCCACTAACGCCAAAAAAAATTCAAACCACCGCCTATAATTTTATATGGGATAGAAGATTTATCTAACTTAATAGAACTTGTAAATAAGACATACCCCACGAAAGCTACTCATATAAAGTTATTAATAGAGATCAGCTAAGTGTTATAGCGCAGTCAACTGAAACATATAAAAACTTGATAGAAATAATCCGCAGCAAAGGCCTTATTGGTCACACATTCACACAGAAGCAGAACAAATGCTACAGGATTGTTATAAAAAAACATGCATTGTACCCCTCCATCAGCTATAATAGAAGAAATAGGAAAAAAAACAGGAAACATGGTACACGGTGGAATAGTTTACCCCATATCTAGAAAAAATAAGAAACCCTTAAATATGTTTTTTGTATCAATAACCCTGCAATAAAAAATATACAATACATTTACCACACTAGAGTCACAATGAAACCCAAGAGAATCTACCGAAATTGCTTAATGCACCCAGGTGCCAATAATATGGTCGCACTAACAATAACTGTATGCGTATTTATAGGTGCGTTAAATTCACACAAGGGCATAAACCTACAGATTGCCCAAAAAAGGATAAAAACACACCAGCTACTTTAACTACAATCCTCAAACAACCAGGATATAAACAATTCGTACATACCGGAAAATGGGCCCAGCTCTGCAAACACTCGTAGCTGGAATAGAAATATAGAGAATAGACAAACTCAGCCAACGAGCTCTTAAAAGCAAATTATAATAAAACAGTCAGAAAAGATTGACATCCTCATCCAACAAATAGGGATTCTTATGAGTCTACTAACGACTGTAATAGCTCAACAGCGAAAATGAAATATCTACGTATCGCAACATGGAACATAAATGGCTTACTCGCAAATAAGCAAGACGTTGAGGTTTTTATAAATTACAATAAAATAGATATTTTACTGGTTACTAAAACGCATATGATCGACCCAAGAATAATAAAAATTAAAGGATACAATGTATACTATGCTAATCATACAGATGGAACATCTCATGCTGGGGCAGCTGTTACAATTAAGGAAAACATTATACATTATATCCTGCCACTATTCAAACATTCGCACATACAAGCCGCTATAATAGCTGAATATAACTGGCAGGGATCACTCAATGTGGCTGCAGTGTACTGTCCATCTAGACACCGGATAGATAACAATATGTATAATAACTTTTTCCATACGCTCGGCTGAAAATACATTGTAGGAGGAGACTGGAACTCTAAGCACAGGAAGCTGAAAAAGTCCATTGATAGTAATAACCTTAATGTAATATCAACAGGTGAACCAACCCATTGGCCCATAGAAAAAAATTCCAGATCTTATTGACTTTTTTATCCCTAAAGGGATCACCTGGGCTCTACACTAAAGTCCAATCGTATTCAAATGGCTCCTCGGACCACACACCAGTTATCTGCACATTAAGCACAACATTTATTTACAATGAACCACGGGAGACTTTATACAACCGTAAAACTGACTTTCGAGAATACATTGAAGATAATGCTAACCTACGCATACCCCTTAAAAGTGAAAATGACATAGACGATACAGCTTGGCAAGTAACTAATCTTACACAAAAAGCAGCATTGCTATCGACCCCATATATAGAACCTAAAACACAAAGTGAAGAGAAGACTAAGACAACAATGGCATACCAGCAGGAATCGGCAAGATAAAAAAGCGTTGAATAAAGCCCAACAAGATTTAAAAGAATTGCTCAAAGATAATTAAAATCGTACATTGCAAGATAAACTACAGACATTGTCGCCGTATAAAGCAGACGATTATTCAATCTGGAAAATGACGAAATTGTTAAAAAGGCCAAAAGAACATATTCCTCATTTAAGACAAGCTAATCGCGAATGATCACAAAAACTACTGGATAAAGCTGAGCTGTTACTGGATAAAATTTCCTAACGGATGTATTTAAGCTTAACGAATCGGACATAATGCAAAAAGAAGACGAATTTGATGATATCATAAATAGTGATCAGCAAATGTCTCTACCACTAAATCTTGTTACACCTTCAGAAATAAAAAAATCTATTAATAATTTAAAACAAAAAAAAGCACCCGGTTTCGATCTTATTGCCGCAAGTATTTAAAGAACTACCGAACAAGGCATCGTTCTGTTAACAATCCTCTTTTAACTCAATATTAAGACTACAATATTTTCCAAAACTATGAAACATGTCCATTATAAACATGGTTCCAAAACCTGGAAAAACTCCAACAAGTTTTATGATACAGGCCTATTACTCCTCTCCACTTGCTTTCAAAAGTATTTAAGAAACTAGTCCTTAGTCGCCTTCAACCATTACTCAAAGAACAAGGAGTTGACCACCAATTCAGCTTTCGTGCACAACATGGAATAATGGAAAAAATACATCGTGTTACTCATACAATACGGCAAGCTCTAGAAAGAAAAGAGTATTGTTCAGCAGTATTTCTCGATATTCAGCAGGCTTATGACCGCGTATGGCATAAGGGCCTCAAAAAGTTAGCTAAAGTTGAACCTACTAAATACTGCGTACCTTCTCCCGAAGTCTTATTTGCAAAACAGTACGTTCTGGGTCAAATGTGAGGATTATCTACCATCCATCAGCCAAATGAAAGCAGGAGTGCCCCAGGGCTCAGTGCTGGGTCTTTTCCCTTAAACACTCTTTACAGGCGATATACCAGTTACGGACGAAGTTGTGGTTGCAACCTATGCAGATGACACTGCAATCCTTTCCTGTAATAAAAATCCAAACGAAACATCCGCAAAACTACAGAAATGCCTAAACAAAATAGGATTATGGTTAAAGAAGTGAATGATACAGGCAAGCCCAGCGAAATCAGTTCATGTCACGTTCACACTAAGAAAAGAAGAGTGCTCATCTGTGACTCTGGAGGGATCTGTTTGCCAAAACGACTACAGCCAAATATTTGGGCAAGCATCTGGACAAACCCATATTATTCCAAGAAGAAGCATGCTTCTATATAATAGCATGCTATTGGTAGGCTTTGTAGGATGTACTGGCTAT